TCATGAAGCTTGAGGCTATTGTGACATCACGGACGTCCAGCAACTTGTATCTTGTCTTTGAGTACATGGAACATGACCTTGCTGGACTAGAAGCATTGCCTGGGATGAAGTTCACTGATCCTGAGGTATATGCCATTCTAAATTAAACATATTTGCTTCATAGTGATTGGATTTTGATCACAGGAAGCTTTTGTTCTTATTAAACTAGTGGAAGGACAAAGACATATTCTATCTAAAATGTGATAGAAAGTTGAAAAGAAATTTAAAGGAAACTCCATTAAGAGAAAAACCATGAATTCAGAAGGCATAAGAATGCATATTTGGTCTTATCAGACTTGAATTTTTAACTTTTTAGGAGATTCTATTTTAAAAATCTTTGAGCAACATTATGTTTAGTTTTAAAAATAGTCAGAACTACTAGTTTACTGGACAGTCATTTTAGAATTATGAATGTTAACATATTGACCTGAGCCTGTTTTACATCACAGCTGATAGGAGATTAAAATGCATTCATGATAGTATAAAGAAAAATTAGCTAGATAATATATATAGTTTCATTTCTGTTTGGATTTTGCAGATAAAATGTTATATGCAGCAATTGCTTAGTGGGCTTGAACACTGCCATAGTCGTGGTGTGCTACACCGTGACATCAAGGGTTCAAATCTGCTTCTTAACAGTGATGGAATTCTTAAGATTGCAGACTTTGGTCTTTCAACTATTTACCAAACTGATGAAAAGGAGCCATTGACCAGCCGTGTCGTGACGTTATGGTATAGGCCGCCTGAGCTTCTACTTGGTGCTACAGATTACGGACCTGCAATTGACTTGTGGAGTACTGGTTGCATTCTAGCAGAATTGCTGTTTGGGAAGCCTATTATGCCAGGAAGAACAGAGGTATGGTTTCCAATTAATATGAATATTGTATTTGGATACATTACACCATTAATTACAAAGGTACAAGCTATATCTCAACGACTCAACCGTTGTATGTTAACAAATTTACTTATTATCTTCAGGTAGAACAAATGCATAAGATTTTTAAGCTTTGTGGTTCCCCATCTGAAGAGTTTTGGCAGAAAACAAAATTGCCCCATGCAACAAGTTTCAAACCTCAGCAACGATATAGGCGCCGTGTTTCTGAAACATTTAAAGACTTTTCTCCTTCAGCCTTGGCTTGTTGAAAAGCTCCTTGCGATAGAACCAGACGATCGAGGTTCAGCAACTTCTGCTCTTCAGAGTGAGGTAATTCTGAGAAATCATTTATCGCATGCTTAGATAAAAGGTTTTGACCTTCTTGTAGTTTATTTTATAAATCATGCGGAAAAACCAAAACTGCATCTTAATAAATAAATTTTTTTAAATAATTTTGTTTAGATGAACCTCTAATAAGGAATTATTGGCCATCATCAATTTTATTGAGGTTTGCAACCGACAATGCGTTACCTGTGTTCGTTTGTATGAGGTTAGAAATTCCATTTAATCATCACTATTTTATATAGCTGACTATCCAAAATTGGCCAGATGCTAAACATGCTAGTTTCACCATAATGAAGTCCCCGATGATATTCTATTTTTAAGCACTATTCTGTCTCTAACTGAACTTACTGAGTGTTGGATGTTCATGAATTTTAATGCCAGTTCTTCACAACACCGCCCCTACCTTGTGATCCATTAAGCTTACCCAAGTTTCCTCCTAGCAAGGAGTTTGATGCCAAGCTTAGAGATGAGGAAGCAAGAAGGTATTCAACGTTTTTATTTCCCTAATTTTCAGAGGCGTAGTACAATCAATTAATAGCCTTACTGCTATTTTCGTATTTACAATATACATAAAATTAAATCTCGACAGACCCTTCTTCTTGTTAAGTACTTGTTCTTCATACCCCTTACTCAGCAGTCACCAATTTCATACCTTTTCGTTTAGGAAAAACACTGAAGCTGTAAAAAGACATGGGCCAGTATCTGTTGCACGAGGTGCAAGAGATACAAATGCTCTCCGAACGCCAGAGTACAATGCTCAAGGAAATATATCTGTACAGGTAGGTATCTTTGTAAAAGTATGCACGGTCACTTCAATAATTTATGCTTCTTGACTCATGGATAAATTAAAAATGGCAGGTTAATTCAAATTCAAAGACGTCTAGTGACAAATATAACTCCAGTGAGGATGGTAGTTCCCACTTTAGGGTTGTGCCAGCCAGAGGATCTGTACAAACCGGTCATGATCATCCTACTTGGGCGAAGAAAGCTGCTGCAACATTATCACCGCTGAATAAGATATCAGACTCCAGGGGAAAGAATACGGAGTTAAGGACACAGAGATCTAATGTAAACCAGGCAGCAGCAGATTTTTCTAACTCTTATCTAAACAAGGTAAGGCATGTCTGGCAGAAGCCCTGGAACAGAAAGAAACAACTTTGCCTTAATCATGTCATACTTCGTTATAGACACAGTATACTAACTCTTATATTTGTATATCACATGTTGTTACTTTCCAATCGTGTTTAAGACAATTTGGTGCTATGGAAATTTGACAATTAAATAATCTGTTTAGCATGAATAGCATCCTGGGGAAACTACACCTTACTTTCAAACTAAGGTCTAATCATAAAGTCGTTGAATTTTCAAATGTACATGGCATGTTCGACTAAGAAAATGATTGCAATCTCCTGCATTTAATTTTTATTAGAAATTTAACAACTTTAGTTTTAGTCCTACGTTTTGGGAGGTGTTTTATTACATTTTAAAGCTCACCTACAAATTCTGTAATTAGGTCTTATGAGAGCTCATTGATTGTGTTCGGCAATCAGAATGTTTATTATAGGGTACTAGTATAAGTATTTATTGGCCTTGATGTCTGAAAATGGGTGAATCAAGACAAAATAGTCACAATACTTGTTATGCGCATTCCCAAACTTGTGACATACTCCGCATATAGAAGTTAATTCCGCCTAACCGTGCCCACACTGAACATGATTAATATCATATTCTGAAAATTAAAACAGTATTCCTGTGTTTTGGCCTTCCTTTTTCATCCTTGAGAACGAAGTTGTTGATCATTTGGTGCTTGCATTTTCTTACAATTTCAGGGTTACGTGCCCAAGAAAAATAGGATGCATCACTCTGGTCCATTGGTTCCTCCTGGAGGTAACATCGATGACATGCTCAGAGAGCACGAGAGATTAATGCAAGAGGCATTCCGTACTGTCAAGGACAAGAACAACCATAAAAAATACCAGTAACAAGAAAAACCACGCTATAGGCCATTCTCATATGTGAAACTCTATAATCCTTATGGTAGGCATTTTATTGTATAACCATCTGTTCAGTGGGAGTGCAATTTCATGTGGCAACAGAAAAAGGAACTTCTTGTCATTCATGGCTTTAACTATTATGGTTGGCTTGATGCTAAACTGCATATGATACTGATCAGGGGAAAAATGCTGAGAAGACGACATATAGTGAGATGGTTTTTGCAGACTTGTTTCTGGACGTTAATTAAGAAGGTTGTGTGAAATTTGATTGGTTAATTGTATATTGTGTGTGAGGTTTAGGTTTGTATAGTTCAAGTAATTTAAAGTAAGGCGTTTGCAATATCCACATCTTCTTACTTTCTACTTGTATTAGTTAGGGCTTCTTTGGATTAACATTGGCAAGCGTGACTTTTATCCCAACTAACCTTTGTAGATTGAAGTTGGAATTAAAGTCAATCAGTATAGTATAATTTATATTTGGATAGAATTTTGTAAAAAAAATTAGTTCAAGAGAAACTTGTTTGGATGATATATTGAAAAGTCAATTTTAGAAAGTTTAAATCTGAAAAAAAGTTAAAGTTAGAAAAAGTTGCTTCAACTTTAAAGGACTTTTTAAGGGGGAAAAATCAATTGCAACCAAAGAACATTATTTTTTCCATCCAACTAAATGTTTTTCCGTCTCAGCTAATTTTTGAGACTTCCAAGTGGTATGTTTTTGACCTTGACTTCCTAATGGTGATTCAATCATGCACTTATCGTTCTAACAAATTGGGAATTAAAACATGGACCTAGCGCTGAGAAAAGATTACTAGCAGAGACATTAAATGAAATATATTATTTGTGTACTATATATTATTTATTGAGTCAACATCATAAATATGCATTTTAATAATTTGATCTTGTTTTTGAAAGAATTTCACTAATAATAATAAATGCAAACTATTAAACCTAATATATTTTTCATAACCTTTTCTATAATACGAGTGTGGGAGGCATATATTACATAATTATCTACCTTCAGTAGTCAATGTAAGAGCTTTTTTCCCTAGTTAATATAAAAGCTAAATAAATAACTGTAAATATTAAAGAAAATTAGTTAAGTTAATTATTTGTAATAAATAAATATTGTTTTTCCTAAAATATCTTTATTAATAATATGGATTAGAATTATCATTTGATGAAAACTCTTTAAAGATACAATCACCGTAGGATTACTTGGGAGAATAAATATTAAAAAATAAAATAAAAGGTCTTATATTTAGACTAAATTAAACATCTAGTTAGCTCTTATATTCAACAAATTAAATAATGTAAAAAGATTCGAGTTATAAACAAGTATTGCTAAAATATACTCCATGATGTTACATGATGGTGAAATACGATACACGTATTGTATCAGATATCTATAAGATACAAGCATGCTAACATTTTTTTAAGTATAAAAATGTCACTTAATGTAAGCTCCAGTGCCGCTAGGTTCTAGCAATGCCCTTATTAATCTCAGGAATATAAGATATTCATCTCTTTTTCTTTTTTTCTTTTTAAATAATGAAACTGATCTTTTGAAATTTGCTCGGCCAAGACTTACCCAGTTGTGCCTCAATCCTATGGATGCGCTTGAATATTTCCATAAAAAATAATACGACACCCCTTTCCTCTGTTTCTCCCTTAATTGTTACGGTATTTTATCGTCTTCTTTGTGAGAATTCACATATATTTGTTAACCTTCCAGCTATAGCACCCTTGTGTTATCATAAAGAAGGCTTTAGTATGATCCTGAGCCGATAAATAGCATATTAGACATTGGGAAGAACTGTCTTATCATTACTCATGAGCTCTTATATACAAAATGATACATATTTTCAGTGCTGTGTGTAAATCAATCCTAAAGCCTACATCTTTACTGCCAACTCAATAACATCAGACATTTTTTTTCTTCTATTAAATAAAAAGGAAAAAAAAAATCATGTGACATCAACCTTGCCCTTATATGTAACCCATGAAGAATTATTTACATCTTCACTTCCACAACATCACCATCTTTGAGCTCTGTACTGGGCAATACCAATTGGCCATTAACCAAAACCAACTTTCCCTCCATACCAACTCTCTGAGCAGCATCAGCAGCTGTGCTACCGCCTCTCAGACTCAAAATTTCACCATGAGGCCAGCATATGATCACCACTTCCCCAAGGTTAAGAGCACCAGGCGAGTCGACAGACTCTCCACCAAGCTTTTGTGTGATGCTTACTTCAGACCGCAGCTGCTCTTCCCAACAAAGCATCGTCCTTAACAATTGCACCTAAAAAGTGAATATAACCATAAAATTAGAACTTGAAATGTCATTGAGACCTCCACAGTCCACCTTGCTGTCACTCGGCTCATATATGGGAAATTAATCCAATTCCATTGACTTGTAGACTCTGGTGTTTGTGTTCATAGGGGAAGGGGTAGTATGGAACCACTGCAAAATGCAGTTTAAAATTTAAAGTTTATTAACATAATCACCGCCAATATTACTGCAAAGAAGTATATTATGGGATTTCCACTGTACAGAGCAACTAATCAAACCAGCACACAGCAACTTTTCATTACATGTGAATGTTTATAACCGACTAATTCAGTTTCTCATATCTAAATGTCAATAGCAACAGTGGAAGAAAACATGAGTCATTCTCAGGGAGTGAGATAAGAAACATAAGAAAATGTATAATTCTCAGGTAAAGCATTTATGATATTTACTGACATGTCAAGAAACAGTGAGTGAATAACCATGAGCAATTTCCAAAATCAACATAAAGTGCCTGAAAGAGGCAAGTTTTTTTTTTTTTTTTTAAAAAAAGACCTTGTTGTTGATGCTAGATTCCGCAGGAGTTAATGCAACTGATTCTGAGTTTGGTGTAGATATAATACTATCAACTGGCCTGCCTTCGAACACGGCTGATACAACAGTCCAATATTCGGATTCTTCTTGCTCTGTAAAATTGATGACCTGAATGAAAGTTGGCAGGAGGCGGCCATATTGGTCTTGCTGCAAGTATAAATTTTTTCAGTACCCTGCAATAGAATCTTTAACAACAACCTAAAGAACCAAAATTCATCGCCTGAATGACATGCATTCTAACTTCAGGAGAACCAAAGTTGGCAGGAGGAGCCCATATACATACTCCCTATAGTTTCATGGCACAATCTAACTTCGTTTTCAAAGGCACAATGTTTTCCCTCTTGTATTATTTAACTCTATCAATCTGTAAAAGGAGACTCCCCCTTCACCTGACGAGAACAAAGAAGTACTAGATGCAAGTATCATATTATTTGTATTTAGAAAGATGATTTTAACCGTCAAAATTTATGTTATGTACATGAAATTTGATTTGTGTTTTATAGAACAAACAAGTGCATGGATCATATGATTTGGGAAAGTGAGGAGCATCATCAGCTTTTAAATTCTTACAAAACAAGAAAAGGCGACTGTTGACGACTATGGTTTGACCATCCAATTGAGGATGATAGGATGAAGAATAAGAAAGCTTGACTTCATATAGCCTAAAAAGTTTCTTCCAAAATTTCCCACAAAACGAAGAACATCTATCTGTCATATTTTTTGGAAAACCATGCAAATTCACCATATTGTAAATATGAATACAGTTAGTGTGCAAAAGGCACTGAGTTGTACTGAGAAATATGCACAGCATGCCTAAAACAGAAAATTTCAACAAAAACAAAACCCTAGTGCATTGCCTCTAGATATAAGATAACTGGGGGGAAAAATTAAGATAGGAAACCATATAATTTAGATTCTTGGCTGAAAATACCTTGTGATACATGCCATCTCGACATAATATGTACCTCTCCAAGCAGGTACACCAATCCCCATGTCCAGGTTCACACCACCATTCATCCGACACCTAAGTAGGCCAGCAGCAAGGGAGAAAGCTATGTGATTTGAAATAAAATACAAAAGAGATTGTACCAAAATAAAATACCAAAAAAAACTAAGAAGCTAAAATCCTATTTTGGTCCATCAAATATATGGTATTTTTCAATCCAGTCCCTCACAGAATTACCTTCCTAATTTTTTTGGCAAACTAATTATCTTTTCAATTAAGCCCCTCATTAAAATTACCTTCCGAACTTCGTCTTTCACAAATAAAACCATTGTAATGCTCTTCTATTCATCTATTGCTAACAAAATTCATAGTCAATTCACATATTATATAATGCTGACTACATATGAATCTATTACAAATATTTTATGCCATAACATCTTTTATTTTCGCATGTAGTAGATTGACATGAGGATATTATCAATAACTGTTTCATCTGTAAGGGAACAAACCAAGAAATACCTATATGTAAGAGATCAAATTTAAGAATACAATTATATAAGAGATTAAATTAGAAATTACTCCACCTGTGGGAAAGGAAATTAAATCACTAAATTGACAAATAATCTATTTGTAAGGAATTGAAGTGGGGTTCAATCCAAATAATAATAAAATGGTAAAGATTAAATGTCTTTTTATTGAAGCTATCAGATCAGTTCAGGAATATCAATAAATTTAAGACCATATTTTTTAGTTGTAGAAAATCTTTAATTAAATAACTTTTAGACAACTACCAAGAGTAGTCAATATTCAGGAGTCAGGAAACACAACCTTTTTGTACAGCTGTGCATAAGCTTCCCATCGCTTAATCTGGGAAGACCTTCTGTTGGCCACTGCTTCTGAAGCTGCTGACCCAAAGCTGACAGCAACAAGCAATTCTCTTCCCTCCTTTTCTACTCTAAGAAGTAATGGGAGTGCAGAGTAGCAATCGACCATTGACATGCCCAAAGAAAAACAAAAAAAAAAAAAAAAAGAAGAAGATTGTATGTACCTGATGATCACAGCAGCAAGCAGGTGGCTTCCTTCTACTCTGAGGACAGGATGCCCAACCTTCAGTGACTCATATTTACTAAATAAAATGTTATTTGAAGAATTTTCCTCCATTATATCTTCGGAGAAATAGGAGGATGCTTCTATTTCAGATTCATCCATGCTGTTTATGGTGGAAAATGGATTTCCAGTTTCCTTGTATAGCCAATGTGCAGCAAGTCCGTGTTCGGCATACTCATGCATCCTCTAGTAGACCAAAATAAAAACCAAAAACTTCAAGAGCTAAGTATGAGCAAGTAACCTAGAACAATTAAAGCAGAAATATTTTTGGCACCTGTGTTCGTATTTGTACTTCTAAAGGTGAGTTGTCGGGGCCTTGTACTGCTGTATGCAAGGACTGCAATCATGAAATGTTAACTTCCACTAATGAATAAATAGCTACATTCTTAACATTCATGTGTAAGAGCAACAAGACGATTATTTCAACTTTAGGCCAGGAGAAATATTAAAAGGAAAGTCTAACCTGATAGCCACTAGGCTTAGGATTGATGATATAATCATCAAATTCACCATCAATGGGAGTCCAGAGCCTGCAAGAGGTAGGCCAACATCAATTATATCGCAATATATGGTGCAAATAGTTTTATTTTAAGTAATTCGATTTCTATGAACTATAGGTCCAAACCCCTAATATTACTCCCTCTCTTTAAAACTGAAACAGTGGCCAGTGACGTGAGTCTAAACCGTCTCACTGAAATTCAAAATTACAAAAAGCTTAGAAAATAGAATGGAGGGCTTCCATGTTATATGCTGTATTTAAAAGTCAGCCACTTCTCAGTACTTGGCAAAAATATTGACATCTTTGTCAAGTACAAGATTATGGTATCAGCATAGGCTTACAGCAGCAAAATATCATGTATCTTCAGGTTAATCTGGCTGGGGCAAAAAAAAAAAAAAAAAAATCGACCTTCAACCTGTGTACAATTTCAAGAAGATTGTAACAACACTGAATTGCAGGTCCATGTAGAGTTCCATTCTTGTCTCCCACGACTACTCTTAATGCTCGTGCATCATATACTTTATCAATACCAACATCCTTTCGCTTCATCTGCATTATATAAAAACATGATTTTGACTATGAAAAGGGATTGATAACTTGAAAGAAATTATTTAAGATTACCAGTGCAGGCAATACCCCAGAAAAGGGAAAAAAATCCAAAGTAAGACGCATCAAATTTTGTCCATCACTATGCATAGATTAATGGAACACTGAATAACAGAAATTTAAAATTTTCGTCAGAAAAGTCTGCATAATTATTCTATTTCCATTCACTGCTTTTACTTTGATTTCCAATTTCAATTTTGACAGAGTTTCTTTGTAATCTCTGACATCATGCTCTCCTGAGACCACTCAAAGAACCTATCGTGAAGTCCTAAAATAATTTCATATCCCTACATATCAGCAGAGTTTTCACAACTAATTTATTTATCTATAAAAATAAAAAGTGGGATGAGGCTTGTTATTGTTGTTGTATCTATAAAAATCAAGACATGAACGTTGTTAATACCTTGCTATAAATACTATATAGGCTTTTTAATCGGCTTGATAATGTCACTTCCATTCCTGGAACATATCTGCAAATATAGAAGGAGACTATCAAGAGCAGAGCAGCAATGCTGATAATGGACATCACCAAATAAATACTGTTTCACCACGGCCAACATAAAGAAAAGCAAGCCTATCAGAATGTACAAGCCCGAAAAAAAAAAGAAGAAGAATCAGGACATACGAAGTTGATATAATAAGTTCCCGTTCAAGTGCTTCCTCACAAATTGCCAATGATGTCAAAGCTAATCCAGCATCCTGAACCACCTTAGGCTTCACACAAGTCTCAAGACTGTTCCCAATACTGCTGAGAAAGGTAGCTCGTTTTCTCCTATCTAACAGTATATCAAATGGAACTACAGCCTCCAAAAGATCCTGGAAGAAAAGAAAGGGGGAAACAACTGATGAAATTATACACATAATTACTCTTACCCTTTTCCCTGGATATGGTAAGTGTTGAAATCACTACAGTTGTTACACAGAACTTCATCATATCATACGTGGAAACATTAAGCTTAGCTTTGCCATAATGTAAGGAGATCAAGTTATTTCTATTTTCATTCAATTGTTTTCAATTTATTTGTTTCTAGTTAGTTGAGATAAAATAAGTTTCCAGAGAACTCAAGCCTCTCTCTTGTCTTTGACATCCTATTTTACTACCATTCACAAAAATAAGTTCAACCAGAGAATATTAATACTTTGTATATCAAAAGGATAAAAGAAGGAGGATTGCATCACTGGTGATTGGTTGATCAGCTTGATGACTAAGGCTGTTATGAGGATTAAATTTGAAGAACTTAACTCCGAACTTGGAATACCAAGCTTTGGGCTGTTCTAAGGATTCAATCTATTTTACTTCCTATGTTTTATTTAAGGCTTATTTATTTTTAGCTAGTTTAGATAACTCTTTTTTAGTTGTTTCGGATTATTGGGGTATTCTACTTTGATAAGGATATAATTAGTTATAGAAAATAGGAATCTTAGGTAATTAGAGTGTCAGAAAATTTATTATTACTTTTAGTTTAAGCCTTATCACTATCAATTATTCTGATTTGACTAGCAGGGTTTGTTTAACTTTTTTATTTAATATAGTTCAAAAGAAAATCAAATCATGAATTTCTTACAACATATGTGCAGTATTGTCAAATCATTTCACTTTAACCATTACATTAAACACCGGCCTACCCGGAGGGCAACTATCAAAGGAAAAGAGAGGAGAAGGAGAGCAATAAACCTCATTGTCACCCAAATACATGTAATGAGCTTCTGCACAAGAAACCTTCTCACCTTCATATTTGAGACGTCCTCATTGAACATCAAGGATTCATCAGAGGAAGTAGAACTGTTCTTGTCCAAAGGTAGCAGGCCTCCTTTTGGAGATAAACTTCTCAGGTTTCCTGTTCTGCCCCTGGGGCTCCACATTGAAGATAGTTCTGCCCTCATCTTCCGAAATATCTGAGGCTGATGAAAATACATGCAATGCAAAAGAATGGCAAGTTCAGTGCCAATTCTGACACAAAAATACCAGTCTTCTGGTCTTGCTGTGAAAACAACAGAACTAATTGGCTTATCAAGAACAATCTCTTTCCTTGTTGGAGAATAAAGAAGGCTAACCAAGATTTGCAAGAAAAAATACCAAGAGAATATAGATTCCAAACTTCCATGTCCCAAAAGAAAAAAGAACAATATTACAAACAAACGAGACTGAAGTTCTGTCCTTTCTCCCCCATTCAAGTTTGCCACCAAAAAAAAAAAAGGAGACAAACAAACGGAACTTCACCAGCAAGTTGAAGAGGAAACGGAAAATTATTGGAGAAGTATGCATCAAAGGAAACTGATATGTCATAGATATGCTAGTAAAAGCAGAATGCTTCTTACCCAAGTATACTCCTGAAAAAGTTTTTTTGAGCCATCACCCAATTTTGAAGAACTTAAAAGTTAAAAATCCTTGTGGACTAGATTTGGGAGGACTTGATTGACTCACATTCACCATTGTTAGGCATTCCAACTAGTCAGATTTAAGCCATAATAACTTTACATAACCTTGCGTCACAACGCAGTTACCTCTGATGGGAAATGCCATCGCCATTTAGTTGACAGGCTAATGTTTTATGACCCTACATCCCTTTATTTTAAGATCTGCAAGAAACTTTCCAACTAAATAGATGAGGGCCTTTTCTGGTGCGCATTCAGACTATTTAGTTCACTGTGCAATATTTTGCCATGCCATATTTTCAGCACCGAATCCCCACTGTTTAGTTCGTAATGAATTTCACTCCCCCCCCCCCATTCTGCTATCTTCTTCCTTTCTGTTCTCATTTCACCTAATAAGTTAATGAACAAGGGGAATGGAGACCTTCATGCTTATCTGCTTCTCACCTCAAAACCAAGATTTAATGTCAATATTGATAATAACTAAGAATTAAAGGTGGCAGTAGAAACACAACCAGAAATCCATTTCTACCATAGACATTTCTGACCAGAAGCAGGTTTTGCCAAACGCTTAGGAGCACTTACCCTTCACTAATGCAAGGTTTTGTCTTATGAAAACATGTCGATACAAAAAACCTTGTAACAAAACAACAGAGATGAAACTATTAGCCGACCTGGAGAACAGCAAAACATAGATCCTCCAATTCAGCTTTCAATGCCCACAAACCCAATCTAGAAGCAAGTGAGCACCAAATAATTAAGGTCTCCTCTGCAACGGCTTGAGCCTTTTGTAGTGGCAGAGCATAACTGTAAAGGAAATATCATCAGCAAGAAACAACCAACACAATAATAATACAAAGGAAATATCATTAGCTAAACTAAAAAATTGCACATCACCAATAATTATGTATGAAGCCTAAAGACTAAAGAAGTTTAGAGTCAGTACATAGTTCTCATATTGTGAAGTCGATCTGCAAGCTTGATCAGCACAACGCGTGGATCATCAACCATTCCCAAAAGCATAACTCGTAAATTACTTGCCTAATAGATTAAAAATTCAACACATCAGAAAATACTATGTAGTTAATTCCCAGTAAAAGAATATTTTTACTTTCCACATGTCAGATGTGTACAGTTTTTTATCATCTCAAATTAATCAAGCATTAAACAAAATTGTGGGATCATTCTCCATTAAAAGATAAAATATCTAAGTGAAAGCCAGAGGAAAATGTATTACAATCTGCCCTCACATACAGATATTGACAATAATCATGGGTGTGAGCTATGTGATTAATTAATGCATAGGTCATACACATCCTTTACCTCTTCCTCGCCAAGGGCACCCTGGTTTACATTCACCCTTCGATGCCTGCGTAAGAGCTGGAAAACATAATGTAATTAGAGGGGACTTAATAGATACACAATGTCATTATATACCCTATCTCAAATCAAAAACAGTATGAGATCAGCTTAGTAAGATACGGACACTATTGGAAAAAAGAAGAAGAAGAAGAAGAGGAAACCAGAGGTGTGAAGACACACTCTAGCCATCCAAGATGCTAGAATTCTCCCAAAACAACTCTACTTTCTCCTGCGATCTTTACTCAAACTCTTCTCTCTTTTCTAATGTCCCTTTATAACCAAATTACCAAATACCTACCCGTCCTAAAAGTAACACGTGTTCTCCTTCCCTCTCAACCCAAAACCATTACATAACTTTCACAGCTCTCCCAGCTTCTACTTTCTCCACTGAGCTGTCTAGCATAAACCTTGAATAATGCTGGTCCATCAGTACTCAAAAAAGATACAGAAAAAGATGAGTTACATGACATTGAAATACAAAATAATGAAACATCAGAATGCATATCCATCAGTGAAACCACCATACTAAGTAGTAACAATCCCTCTGAACCCTCCCTGAAAATTTAGCAACCAGGATGGGGAAATCATCTTATTTTAGTACCTATAGGTAGCCTATGCTACTCAATGTATGACTTAGGCATTCCATACTAACTTGGTTCCTGTCAAACACCGGCTGAAAAAAGAGTAAGATTAACTATATTTCTTCAGCTTTCTTCAACTGAAGTCAATAAAAATCTAAAACTTCATAGCTAAGTTCCTTCCAACCTAGATGTCTTCAAAGGTGCATTTGTTCTCACCAATTATTTGCCAAGTCCGCACATATTTTGGACCTCCTCCAGATACTTAAGGTACAAAATCAAAGCATCAAGTTCCTTATGATCTCCAATGCCGAATGTCATGTTGTTGTTGACCAGATATTTATTACTATTTATTACTATTTCTCCCCCTTTTGTGCGATCCTCTTCCCTACTCCCTTGTATAAATCATGAACAGTTGCTGAATGAAATAAGATGAGAATTTTCTCACTTAGATATAGGCTGAACTAGATGCCCAGCAAGGAATTCTAGATATATCTTCCTGCTAGTAATTCATATTATCCATAATAGTTGTACAAATAATATCATATTACACACTTCAATACTTCTACGGTCTGAACACAAAAATTATAATGTAAATATAAAGATTCAAAATAACAAAGTCATACTATGAAATGAGCTCAAATAATTTCATCGAATTTAGTCTGATTTATTTGTGATAGCATCAACTATACTATAAATATCAATAAACTCAATTATTAAAATTTCTCAGGATACTCTTTTGTAGCTTCTAGAATCTGTTCCTTAGTTCAAGTTCCCTCTTACTAACCAGAATCAAAGAATAACTTTATTAACCTTTTTTGATGAAAAATAAAGGAAAAAGAATGGGAATTGCAGCAGAATAAGCAATAGGATAAATTCAGATAATAATTCTTTGATGAACTTCTAAACTAGATAATCAAAGAAGCAAAGCTCTCCATTCCTCCCACTGTCCAGACGTGGCGTTCTCCAAACAGACAATTAGTTGAACATAGGAGTATCTCATATATAATACCACACCGTAGAATGAATGCTTCATACCAAAACATTTGAAAACCTATGACTACCAAGATCATGCTTGCAGCACATGGGAAAAAACAAAAATTAAAAATCAGAGGCCTAATTTAAAGAATTACTCCCACAAGTTATGAATTTCTATCCAAATTCCGCATTCCATCCACATTTCATTCTCCAAGCAGATGCTTAGAAGATTGAAATATAAAGATTGGCTGAAGATGACAGACTAATATGTGACACCTCCTCAAACCAAACCATAATGAAAAGGCACTCATAGTCCAAATGATACCTGATTTATATAACTCAACCTAGAAACGCCAGCTACCAATCTAACCACATCATCGCCAAACTCTTCTTCAATGTCTTGCAGACTTTGGCATGTATCATCAACCACATCATGGAGAATACCAGCCACAACCGTCTCAACAGCCTGAAAAAGAGCACAGAAGTCTCAAGCAAAGGAATCTGCTTTAAGTAAACATGGTTTGACCCATAAACTTTCACTTAAATAGATACTTCAAAACAGACCAGAAACAGAACAGAAATAGTTGAAATATTAATAAAGTCCAATCCAAAGTAGCATAGTTTTGATCTAGCTGTTCAACAATGGTAAAGATAACTAGGTCACCTAACTGATAAGCATAAGATATGATGTAGATATATCACAATCCTGTATATAATCTTATAATATACAAGTTGTTCAGCACAGAAAAATCAATCTATCCACTGGGACCTCGCTGCTTACACCCTATTACAATTAGATACTCCCAACACAATGAAATAGCTTCTCGGCACACACAAGTACATACATAATTTTTCAGGATTTCCTTCGAGTCACTTATCTGATATAATCATCCCTCAAGTTAAGTATTTAAGAAAAACATAGGAAAAACGGCTGCAGCTTTATCTACACTTTACATCTTTCCATCATTCCCTAACCCTGCAATTAGGGTAACTAAATCAAAACAAAGTTTAATATTGAGTATCTGTTTTGAACATTGACAAAGTCATTAAAAAATAATACGATATAAAAATGACCAAAAATATGTTTTCCATCTCGCAAGACAGTCAACAGCAAATGAATCAAGCAGTTTAAATAAACACAGTCTGTACAATGGCAGAGATAATTCCCATTATCTCTGTACAAGGGAAATGGAAAATAATACGATAACATCTTGTTCAATAGCTCAGATTAAAGGAAAACAATGGCAGAGATAATTCCCATTAGGAAGCTCTGTACAAGGGAAATGGAAAATGATGACCTTAAGGGGAGTAGCCTGCTAAGCCAGTGAGTTATCCTGAATAATGACTTGGGAAAATATTTCAGGAAAGAATTGAGAACTTGTTTTTCAAAGAAATTTCAAGAATAAGTTAGAAACATTTATAGTATCCAAGTAGATGGCTAGAATAGAGAAGGACTTAGGCAGGTTTTGGGAGCTTTGTGGAGGCCTAGCCCCTTGAAGTGCAAGAAATATTCCTTTATTTTGATGCATTCCCCAGAAGAAGGCGGTATCTCTGTTGATTTATCAAGAAGAATTTCAAGATTTCCATAAGGTTTTTACATAAAAAAGGGAAAAAGAAAGTAAAGGAAAATAAATTTTCAACAAAGAAGAAAATCGAAACTTTGGGTGCTTGTAAGTAAATATACTGATTAATTGACTAAGTGTAGTATTAAGTTCAACCTTCTAAATCTCTTTGCTTTTACTATTACATTTTTTGTGATATGCCAAAGTAATGTCCTTCAATTTCAATTTTTTTTTTATATATATAGATGTATCAACCAATCAACTGCAAATAGAATAAGAAAATCCTTGCTGAAGAGAACATAAATGGACTACAAATTCTGCAAATTCAGAGATTAAATAGCTACTAAGAATAGTGCATACTCGTTTACCACTTGATGGGACCAAAGCCGCCAAAATTCTTCCAGTATGAATGCAATGTGTTAAATAAGGTTCTCCTGTTTTCCGCTTTTGTCCATGGTGTGCTTTTCTTGCAAAAGCAATAGCCTTCTGCACCTGCCTTCACAAATAGGGTATGTTAATGATGTAACACAAGAACAAGTCACAAAGCAAATAGAGGCAATAAACCTTCGCATCATTGAATACAGGATAGCCTGTAATGTCAACTCCATCCTGTATAATAGCACCTGCATGTTAATAATTCATGGCTGTTAATATATGCCATGATGAAATTTATGTAATTACAAGAAGCTATTAATTTTCAAAGCCACCCCTACAATTTTCCTGACTAAACATTGATTATACATTAGTCAACATTTAGTGTCACGTGGTTAAGTTGAAATAGGCCATATCAACCTTTTCCTAGATGAATTTCTTAAACATGTTAGGTCCATTCATGTTGGAAAGGATTCTTTGCAAATAGATACAAAGTTATCACATAGAACTTGATAGATTCTTCACAATAAACCCTTAGTTCTTTGAGAAGTCTTCAGATCTTTGTTACATTAGTAGGGCTAAGGCTCTATACTTAGTTTCAACACTGCTTCTAGCAACTGTAGCCTGACTCTTAATTTTTCATCTAAGCAAGTTTTTCTATCCATAGGTACAGTAGCTTGAAGTGAACTTCCTGTCAAAACTAGATCCCACCCAATCAGTGTCACAAAGTATCTCAATGCCACAAGGCAAACCTTAATAATTCTATGGCCAGCCCCAGGGTGAGGGCAGCCCTGGTATAAATCAAAGTTGCTTTGCTCCTATAATCACTACTTACAAAGAAACTAATATTAGGTCTTATGTAAGTCAAGTAGATAAGTTTGCTTGCAGGTTTCCATGTCAACATCAAAAAAGGGAACTTTCTTCAGAGAATTTGCTCTTGTAGTTGGCTCCATAAGAGTGACAATTGGTTTACATCACAGGATCCCATTCTCACTAAGGATTGTACTTCTTTTGGGATATAGTGCTGCGTACCTAAGTGGGATGGAGAACCCTACCCCAACAGCTAGCTATTGAGGTGGGAGAACCAACCTACTTAAATACCCCATTAAGAATCCCCTACTACTCAATATGGGACTTCATATCCCATACAACAAAATCTCTATCATGTGATAATTTCCTTAGAGGATCCGGCTGCCCCAATACCAAGAAAATATTGAAGAACTCCATGGTCTTTGATTTGAAACTCTTTGGCTAATTCACTTTTGAGATTCTTAATTTCTTCAGCATCAACCCCAGTTACAATGATGTCATCAACAAACATGATCAAAATAACTGTCTTCTGATCAGCAAACACAGTAAAAATAGTGTGATCTTTTCATTGAGTTTAACCTTTGGTTTTTACAGCCACAGCACCAAACTATAACAAACAAACAAACAAACAACAAGCCTTATCCCACTAGGTGGGGTCGGCTACATAAATCACACGATGCCATCGTGCTCTGTCAACAACCCAATCCTTAGATATGTTGTTGATTAGGAGGTCTCGTTCAATGACCTCATTCAGCGTTCTTCTCAGTCTTCCCCTGTCTTTTTTTATGGGACTCTATCTTGTTTGATCCACCCTCCTCACCGGGGCCTCCAAAGGCCTTCTCTGCACATGTCCAAACCATCTTAAGCGATTTTCAACCATTTTCTCTTGGATAGGTGCCACACCGACTCTTGTCCTAATCTTTTCATTTCGAATCCTATCTTTTCTTGTATGACCACACATCCATCTCAACATCCTCATTTCTGCTACTCCGACTTTGTGCTCTTGTTTTCCCTTTATTGCTCAACATTCACTACCATACATCATAGCTGGTCTTATAGCAGTCCGATAAAATTTTCCTTTAAGTTTCTCAGGTACCTTCTTATCGCAAATAACTCCGGTAGCTTTCCTCCACTTTAACCAGCCAGCTTGTATTCTATGAGAAATGTCTCCATCAATTTCCCCATCCTCCTGTATAATGGATCCTAGGTATTTAAACTTTGATACTTGAGAAATAATTTGCTCTCCCATCCTCACCTCCAAATCCCTATTACCTTACCTCCCTCCAAAATCACAATGCATATATTCTGTTTTGTTCCTACTCAAACGGAAACCTTTCGACTCCAAAGTCCTTCTCCATAACTCCAAACTAGTGTTAATCTCTTCTTTTGATTCCGCCATAAGAACTATATCATCCGCGAAGAGCATGGACTTAGGGATTCTTTCTTGAACAGGTTTAGTTAGAACATCCAGAACAATGTTGAACAAGTACGGACTCAGAGAGGATCCCTGATGTAGGCCAATCTTAATAGGGAAGTCCTTTGTCTCCCCCCCAGGCGTCCTTACACTGGTAGTTACCGCCTTATACATATCTTGTATGACTTTGATATACGCAACCCGTACACCTTTCTTTTCCAAAGCCTTCCACAATACTTCTCTTGGCACACGATCATAAGCCTTTTCCAGGTCAATAAAAACCATATGTAAATCTCTTCTTTTACTTCTATATCTCTCCATTAACCCCCTTAGTAAATAGATTGCTTCCGATGTGGATCTCCCTGGCATAAATCCAAATTGGTTTTCCGAAATAGAAGTCTCCAACCTCAATCTATATTCCATCACTTTTTCCCACAACTTCATTGTATGACTCATAAGTTTTATCCCCCTGTAGCTTGCATAGTTTTGAATGTCTCCTTTATTCTTGTAAATAGGAACTAAAATGCTTTTCCTCCACTCATCCGGCATATTTTTAGAGCGTAGAATTTCATTAAAAAGCTTGGTTAGCCACGCCTCCCTCTCATCGCCCAAACATTTCCAAACTTCAATAGGGATACCATCAGGCCCAACGGCTTTTTCTTGAGAGCCGCCTTAACCTCTCCGATACGTATCCTGCGGTAGAAAGCCAAATTCCGATCATCTTTGTTAATTAGCAAGTCCTGCAAGTCCTGAGTCGCATAATTGCTTCCCTCATTAAACAACTTGTAAAAGTAAGCCTCCCATCTGTCCTTAATATCACCATCAGTAACTAATACTTTACCATTTTCATCCTTTATACACTTTACTTGGTCCAGATCTCTCTTTTTCCTCTCCCTTTGCTTCGCGATCTTGTAAATATTTCTTTCTCCCGTCTTTGTTCCTAACTCCTGATAAAACCCTTCATAAGCTTTAGTACGTGCTTCGCTCACTGCTCTCTTTGTCTCTTTTTTAGCCAACTGATACTTTTCCTGGTTCTCTACACTATTGCACAAGTGTATGGCCTTAAAACAATCTTTTTTCTGTTTGACTTTCTTTTGCACACTCTTATTCCACCACCAAGTCTTCTTATCTCTTTGACCAGGACCTTTGGATTCTCCCAAAATTGCTTTAGCTACCAAACGAACCCTTGAAGCTATCTCTTCCCACATCATGTTTGCATTTCCCTGCAACTCCCAATTCCCTTCCTTCAAAAGAGTCCTTTTGAATAACTCCTGCTTCTCTCCTTTTAACTGCCACCACTTAATCCTGGGTTTTGTCACTTGATGGTACTTTTGCCTGGTACTCTTAAAACATACATCAAGGATAAGTACTCTATGTTGGGCACTCACCCCGTCTCCTGGAATCACTTTGCAATTAGTACACAATCTTCTGTCCGGATTCTTAACCAAAAAGAAATCAATCTGTGATTTTGATACACCACTTTTGTACGTGATTAAATGCTCCTCTCGCTTCTTAAAACAAGTGTTGACAATCTTAAGATCGTATGCAAGAGAAAAATCGAGAATAGATTGTCCTCCACTATTAAGCTCCCCAAAACCAAAACCACCATGAGCCCCACTAAATTGTCCTGCTTCTTTACCAACATGTCCATTAAGGTCCCCATCGATAAAAAATTTTTCTTTGAGTGGTATGCTTTGAACCAAGCCCTCCATATCTTCCCAAAACTTATCTTTAAGGTGTGTCTCTGCCCCAACCTGAGGTGCATAGGCACTAATGATATTGATAGTATCCTTTCCAACAATTACTCTTAACGATATTATTCTGTCCTCAAACCTTTTAACCTCTACCACGTTTTTTTTCCATGTCCCATCAGCGATGATACCAACCCCATTCCTTGTGCTCACCTTTCCTGTGTACCAAAGTTTATACTCTCCAAGTTCCTTGGCAGCTTCTCCAGTCCATTTGGTTTCTTGGAGGCATAAGATATTAATCCTTTTGTCCCTCATAACTCCTGCTACTTCCATAGATTTCTCATTTAACGTCCCAATATTCCAAGTGCCAAATCTAATCTCATTCTCATGAACTAACTTCTTTAGCCGCCTCTGTCCAAGAGAGTGCGGTAGCCCTTGCTCATTTAACACTACATCCGGACGACGATGCAGCGGCTCTAGCTCATTTCTCACTGTACTCGAGCCATACAGCGCATCACATCTGGGCAACGACCTAGCATTAGCATAATTACTTCGTTGATCCATGTTCATGAGATTCGACGGGTTTTTACGTTGGCTGTCGAGGGCCTAACACAACCCTCCTCCTTTATCCGGGCTTGGGACCAGCTATACTCAGGGCAATTTTTGAAGGCCATTCTGAGACTTGTTTAACAGCATTTTCTTGGATTTTATTTTGAGGAACCGTTACTAGCACTTCAACTGGGTAATTCCAAGGAGCCATGAACAGCATTATCAAAGACTAAAGAAGTTTTTCCTTGTATTCTTTGATATTGTTTTAGTCTTTTCATGCCAGAACAGCCATGTGGAGCATCTCAGAACAGTTTCTTAAGTGTTTGGGATAGTGTCAATACTTTGTCAATCAAAATAAGTGCTTTTTTACTTCCCCCCCCCCCCAAAAAAAAAAAAGCAGATTCAGCATTAGGCTACGTCATCAGCTCATAGGAAGTTGCAATAGATCCTCAGAAAGTGAAAGCAATGATGCAGTGGCCCATTCTGACCCCCTCAAACAAGTAAAGTCATTTCTGGGCCCACCTACATACTATAGAAGGATCATTGAGAGGTATGGAGAAATTGCAAGGCCCTTGACACAATTCCTGAAGCAGAGCAACTTTTCCATGGACAAGTGAAACCACCAAAGCATTCCAACCATTAAAAGAAGCATCAACTATAGCTCATGGGTGAATCAAATTCTTCCACGCATGGCAAAGGGACTGTTCTTCTTATGCAACAAGACCTGGACATAGCTTTCCACAATAGAGCCTTATCACCAATGCATGCTTCCCTCTCAGTCCACAAAAAGAAGCTGCTCACAATTGTACAGGTAGCAGAGCAATGGTACTTATACTTTGGCAGAAGGGGCTTGACTGTGATGGGTCAGAAGATAAGACTTCATGCCAGCACTTTTGGTTTGTAAAACGTACAGGTTACGATAATAAAGTCCAGCGCAAGAAGGGAAAAGAGAATGGGGCAACTGATTCTCTTTCAGAGGACAAGCAGTACAACTTTTCAAATGGCTGTTTCATCTCCACTCACATGCGGCAGCACATCAAGGAAGCGTCGCACTAAGATGTAAACTCACCAGCAATAATCATCCAATTAAACCATGACGGTACCAACGTGTCCAAATACAGCGGGGATGAACAAACCTTGAGAAGAATCACTCTTCCCTTGAGATAACCCCAATAAACCTTCGATCTGCTTATTATCTAGCCTTTACTCCACCAAATAACAAAATTTTCATTTTACATTAATTCTTTAGCCACATCTCAGGTTCCAGGCCACAAGGTCAGGTGAAAATAAATCACTAATATTTATACCAAAGAGTGAATTTTAAATGCTTCGAAATTTAAACGCGGGGCTCATTTACACCTATAAAAACTAAGAAACCAGAGCAAACACAAGATTTCTGTTTGGGAAAGTGTTGAATGACAGCATCACTCATCAAATTGGAGAGAAAAATCCATCATACCAAGAGTCAAAGCTTCAACTATTCTTTCTTATCCTACAAGTAATTCACAAAACTTGTTCTGCAGGACATCTACAAGATCAAATCAGCTAGTCATTTTTAAAATCGCACTAACCCCGCTAGTTTCACCCAACCCACTCATCTTAAACAACTTTTGGATTGTCTACCTAAATTAATTAACCAAACATCCTTGATGGATTTCAACTGGACGCTATTGCTCACGTAGAAATAATGTAGGAGTCAATTATGTAGTTATAGAAAAATGATTAAATTAATTTGGTTAGATAATGATCATTAAATGGTTTTAGAATCTGAAAAATACCCCTAATTATCTAAACTAGCCCAGAAAGAAAATTGCATAAAAAAAAAAAAATTTATCCGTCGAGCATTATAAATACGGGCGACGAATTCTGCTTCCACTATCGATTCCGAAACCGAAATAAGCAAAATCTAAACTTAAGGATAAAGAAAGCAACCAAATCACCTGGCTGTTCCTCCAATTTGGGCCAAAGGAAATCAACCTTAGTGGAAAGACAAGCCCCCGAAGCGATAGCCACAGCGGTGACGGCCACCTGCGTGATGGCGGAGGAGACAGCGCCATGAACAGAGCCGGAGCTATTGGCAGCCGCGGCAGCAGCGGCAATCACATTTTCGGGAGTAAGAACGGAGGTCAAGGAGGAAGAGACAGAGAACTTGGGAACGATCGAGTGAAGCACACAGCGGAATCGGGAGGAATTGCGAAGACGAAAAGGGTGAGAGGGTTGCAACCTATGGAGAAAAGGGGAAGTCGTCCTGTGGAGGAGCATGGCGCACCGTTGGCATGGTGAGGGCATGCTGTGTGGGTGGGTCTCTGTGAGTATTGCTGGTCGTTGTGGCAGTTATTTTTCCCGGCAATAAAAAGTACGTTTGAGAGAGGGAGGGAGGGAGGGAGGGGTGAATTTGAACGAGTGGTGAGAAAGAGACGGAGTTCAATAGAAATCTGGTTTTGTTTGGTAGTGGATTATGTCTGGTCTGAAACTATTTAGGGGCTCCTTTTTGTCTGGGATTTTTCTGGAAAATCCATATTCATCTTTCTTGTTTTCTTTTCTTTCTTCCCACCAAATTATTGTTTTCCCCTTTTAGGATACTAAATAATTAGTTTATAAAAATTAAAAAATTAAAAAATAAATTAAGTTAATTATGTGTAAAAATATCTGTTGGTTTCTAAAATATTACTTGATTATTTACTACCTTCAGTTCTTAATGTAAAAGTTGGTTGACCAATTTGATTAGATTAAAAAAAATTAGTTAAGCTAGTTATCTGTAATAAATAAATATTTTCTTTTTTAAAATATCTTTACTAATCATATATATTAACTATAACTACTATTTGATAAAACATTTAACAGTGTAACTATTACAAGGACTAATTTTAAAAAATAGATAAATATAAAAAATAAAATTAATTAGAGTCTTATATTTAAAATTAAATTAAATGTCAAACTAATTCTTACATTGAGGATCGTAGTACATTGTGAACTACTTGCAAAAGTAACTCTTTTAACAAGTGTAATTAATAAAAATAATTTGAATAACAAAATATAAATTTAGTAAACAATTGGATAAGAGTTTTTGCATCTAGTAGCAAAAAGACAGCCTCCACGAAATGGCTCAGTAGGTCTGGAATTATTAATTCAGATCTTCAAAAACAACTTGATCAAGACAAACTATAAAAAGGCATGAAAACTCGTGAAAGAGAGATCAAAGACCATCAAGGCTCACCAACTTTTGTAGCAACTCGGGCAATTCTAGGCCATTCCACCGCCATGATGATAGCTTGCTGCGAAGTCTGCAAGGGGGAAAAAAAAAGCATTAGCACTAATACACTTTTTTAATCCAAAAATGTACCAATCATATAAATTAGGAAATGGAATCTGAAAGTTTTCACCTCTGCAAATATGGAAATTCTAAAGCCTTTGTTGTCTTCGCAAATGCAGAGATTAATAAGCCATGAAAATGCAAACCTCTTTAACAAAATTTCAACCGAATTCATATAACAACAAATGCTAAATCCCCGCAGTCCTTGTTGAGGTGCCGCCACGATGCCACCATATAGATCTCACATCCGGTGGTTGAATTGTTCCAATACCTGAAGCAGATGAAAACACCGAAGAAGACGATGACGTGGAAAAACTTTAGGTACTGTTTGGTACAAGAGAAATGAAGAGAAGGGGAGGGAAAAAATTTTTAATAAGCTCTGTTTAAAAAATTAAAAAAGTGGGGTTTTGAAATTATAATAAAAATAAAAATTAATATAAAAAAGTAATAAACATTAATTAAAAGATTTTAACCTTATTTTTTATTTTTTTTTAAAATTAAGCTTATTAAAAAAAAATTTCTTCTCATTTTTCTTCGTACCAAATCAAAGGGACCCGTGGGAATTTTTCGCAAGTGCAAAATCGACGCGGTAATGTGGGTGCTTGATCAGATGTTATTCAGCGCCACATCACCCTCCTGCCAGCTTAAAGGACTGGTATTAATAATTGAAGAAACAATAAGGATTAAATAAAAAAAATTTATAGGAACCTAATTCAAAAATTAGATAAAGACTCACAGACTAATTGTTCGCATGATTTTTTAATGAAAATTTCAATGTGGTCCAACGAATATTTAACTCGCATTTTTTTTAAATATAATTAAACATATGCAAGAGTTAAACGTCGGAACCTAATCTGAATGTGGTGGTGATGTTTGACACTAGCTGTTAATGAGAAAGCAATTTGATTTGTGAGTGCTAAATAGATGCTGGTAATTCTTAAATAGTTCACCTGCGACTTGCAGCCAGGCTCTTGTAGCTCAGTTGGTTAGAGCACCCGTTTAGTAAGCGGGAGGTCTTGAGTTCAACTCTCAACAAGAGCATTAGCGTATCATGTCATAGGGTATTTTGTTTAGTTGTAGGACGGCCTGCCCTCTGACGTGTCCTTCGTTTTTCTGACACATATTTGATCGACCCGGGTTCCCCCCAACCCCACTCGTTTGCCGCAAATAATTTTTTTTTAATGCAATTTCCCATTTCATTACTTCCTTTAAATTTTTTGAATACATTGTTTGTACAAATTTTAATTCCCAACAACGCACGGGTCAGTTGAAAAAATATTTTTGTTGGTGACAATTTCATAAACGGAAAAAAAAAATCAAAAGTTCAGTGAAAAAATAAATGTGTTATAATAAAATGAAACTATAAAATTACTGTTCATTTTAGTTTATTTAAATTATTTTTGACTCAATTGTTTGTATATATGCATATTTAATCTTCTAATCTTGTATATGGTTTTATTTTGATCCCTTAATTTCGTAAAATGTGTTTTCAATCTTGTAATCCTAACATTGTTAGATTTTTTTTATTAAAAAATATTGTCATTTAAAATTTGAAATATTGATAAAATATTATCAAATTTTTATCTATTATGTTTAATTCTTTTTCTTCACCACATACTATGTTTAATTCTTAAAATAATCATGATTGGCCAAAAAAAATATTCATATGAGATTAGTAGTGATAGAGATGAAGAATTAAAAAGATAATTATAAAATTAAGAAACTAAAGTAAAATATTATATAAAATTAAAAAAATAAATATATTTTTGTATAAATTTTTAGATCCCAACAAATGATGGATTAAGGCTCTGTTTAGTTGGAGGGTTGTTGAGGAAAGGGGAGGAGAGGGGAGAGGAAGGGATGAGATAAGTATGTTTGATTAGGAAAAATAGAAAGGAGGGGAGGGAAGAAATTTGTCTTTTAGTGTTTCCCTCCCTTCTTTTTCCTTCCCTCCAAATTTGGAGTTTTTTGGAGGAAAGAGAAATATTATGTTTGATATTGACTAAACTATTCATACTAATTTTTCAATATTTCAAGTTTGACCCTCTTATTAGAAGTCTTTTTCTCACTTCTTTCTCTTTTTAGTCACTAATAATATTTGATAATGATACTATAATATTTCTATCATGGTAGTAATTTTTTTTTCATAATATAATATCACAAGTATATATTATTAGAGGGTGGTGTAATATAATTATATATATTATAACATGTGTGTATTATAATCTCAAATGGGTTGCAAACATGCATATATATTAATATATACATATCATAATACATGTGTATTATAATTATAAAATTAATGCGATAGAATGTTAAACTTTTTATCATATTTTTTAATTCTTTTAGTTTTATCATAATTTTTTTATCACATGTAAGTGAGGTAATTGGTTTTTTTGAAATTGATAGATTAAGAAATAATAATTTTCATATAAATATTGTAATAAAAGAATAAAATAGTCTAAATATAGATAAAAGGGCATATTTGTCAATTTATAATTACCTCCCCTCCCCTCCTCTTATAAACCAAATTAGAAATCTCTACTCCCTTCCAACCAAACAAAACCCATAGCCTCCCTTTCCTTTATCTTCCCTTCCTTTAATTAGCCTCCCCTTCCTTCCACTGAACCAAACAAAGCCTAAGGTAGAGGCAGAAGACTAAGGCTCTGTTTGGATAGCACCCCAAACCATGGTTTGGGGACCCAAACCATGGTTTGGGGAAAATGCTACCCAAACAGCCTCTCTAAAAACCAAAACCATGGTTTTGGGTCAAAACCATGGTTTTGACTCCAAAACCATGGTTTTGGAAAAAGCAAAATTTTTTTGCTTTTGGAGAAAAAAGGGAGAGTGTGAGGGCTTATATGATATGTATCTTGTTATTTTTTTTATAAACATATTTTTTATAAATATATTTAATCTTATATTTTATAAATATATATAGACATTAATTATTTATTAATTATATTATCTTGTGTATTATTAATTATGTTGGTAAAAAACATATTATTAACAATTTTATTTCTTCAAATTAAAATATATCATAAAATCTATTTTTTCTGTAATTATCATATTAACTTATGTCTTTTTTTTAGTAATTTGTATATATAAAAAGTGCTTCTGATAACAACTATCTAAACACTCTCACTTCTCATAATCACTTTTTTACAAAATCTATTCTTCACAGAATCTATTTTTTTCAGAATCTATTCTCCAGAATCACTTTTCCAAACCACGGTTTGGTTTCATCCAAACACACCCTAAATAAAACCTATCCTCATTTTCCAAGATCGAGGTTGTTGAACTGTCCCAACCTAACATTACCACAAAAATAGACAAAGTGATTTGATTAATACGAGTCCTATGACGATGATGAGCCACTTCTAGCTTCTACATCTGGTAATTGAATCATTCCCACTACCTAAAACTGACAAAAACGCTGAATAAGACGAAGATGAGGCGGAAGAATTTGAAGGATTTTTTGCCAATGCAAGATCCATGTGGCAATGTGTGTGCCTGTTCAGACGTTACTCAATACCACGTCACGCTCTTGTCAGCTTGCACTAATAAAATCTTGACAGAAGAACTAACACCAATAACTGAGTAAAAAGAAAAAAATTATAAAGATATGATTAAAAACCTGGTAAAACTATAAAAACTCAGATTAATTTTCCTAAAATCATAAAACACAGATTTAATATTTTTTTCCTTTCAGTAGAGAAGTTTAAAGAAGCATTACAATAATCATAATGATACATTTGATCAGGAACACAGTAAAGATGATGTCGAGCTTATGAGAATAGCAACTAAGTTGCATGTTTTCTTTTCTGGGTGTGTGTGTGAGAGAAGAGGAAGAGGGATTGGAAGTTTGCCATTGAAATTTTGACCTCGAATTATAGAGGTATACGGTGGCTCAAGCTTTAATATTGTGAGGGGCCTAATATCATTTAGAACCTTCGAATTAGTAGAAAATTTAGGTAAATTAAGAACCCGGTTGTTACTTGTTAGGCTGAGAATGTAAGCCAATAATAACTTTTTCTTAATTTGCGACAACTCATTAACCTCTCAATTTCTAAACAGAAAAAGGAGGAAGGCGATTGCAGCAAATTGAACTAGAACAAGGCAACCTTCCGCCACACCAATTGTGAAATATTGATCTGGGGGGGGAGAACAATTATTGTGCAAGCCTCAGGAGAAAGAAATCATGCCTCTCATGAATTTGATGTTAGGAGCTCAAACGTGATGCAGGGTAAAAATGGGGAGGAGGGGAACGGGCAGATCAAAGGGAAGTGAAGATATGATCTCCCCAACTCCTGAAAGACGCATACGCACACGATAAAGGACATCCACACTCTGATCATATTGGTTAATCATATTATCAGGCTCAAACCTCTATACATTGGATCAAGTCACATAATCTAAGTGCCTGGCACGGCAAAGCAACTATATACTTCATCAGCAGCTTCCGAAAAAATATGATTACAATTCACAACGTCATGATGAAAATGGCCGCCATTTCACTTCACGGTCGTTGGACTTGTCGATAGAATACCTGCAGCTGATAAGACACAAAGGCAATGTAATTGAGTGATCAATGAGGTGACATTGACATGCAGCACATAAGATGTAGCTCAAACCTGGACTAGAAAGATGAGGCTCCTAGTGAAGAGTACCCAGCAGCATTTCTCTCCTTCAGAGTTGCAGCCAACCAATCCAAGCCCTCATAAAGGCCATCTCCCCTTAACGCGCAAGTTCCTTGTATGTGCCATTTTCTATTCTTGAGTTCAAAGAGACCTAGTCCTTCACATACTTCCATTGGCGTCATTGCTCCTCTCTGAAAAGGGAAAATTTTAACAATTAGAAGGCTGCTATGGACATGAGGCAAAACTCCTAGGATTTAATTAGGGGTTGGGGGTAGTTGGTTCATGAAGAGGGACAGCCTACCAGGGATGACTTGGTTTTCCGGGATATCATCAGTAACATCAAGCATGCACATGACCAGTAGGGATAAAAAGTAAAAACAGTTTCTTTTTCTTTTTCTTTTTTTATTCTTTTTTTTTTCCCCCTTTTGGGCCAACAGATAAAAACACAGTTTCAGAAGTTCATTTCAGCCATCTGCTTATAATATAAATGGCTTGGCTTTCTTTTGGATATGTTTCAGATATGAGTAACAATACAAATAGGTACATTCATGAACTTTCATCCCTTATGCTTCTCATTAACCCTATTTGTCTCTCTCAAAATTCGGACAAGATTATCTAAATCCTTCTATTCATATTCTTCTAAGCCTTACTTTCATTACCTCATTCTCATGCTAGGGATCCATTCCTTCATGAAAGGTCTTCTTGGAACCTAAAACTACCTCAAAAGCTCAAGTCATTTATTCAGATCATGGCAGTCAATAGAATTGAGAACTTGGAACAGGTTCTCTCGTTACTACTCAGACATTACAAGGAGAGAAAAAGGTAAAACCTTGTAGCACTCTATGTATGGTCTTTATTATTAGTTGAATTGGGTCATAAATCTCAAATAATTAGGCACACTTCCTCCCCTTGAGATACCAAATCGGAAAGGGTTAGTTTTGTGGGTTTTCTTGTGTACTTTGCAGAGGGTGTTTTTAGTTAGTCTCTGTTAGAAGTGATCAGTCGGACTAGCTAGTAGAAGTTGCTATTTCTATTAGGTGACTTGCATCCGTAGAATCCTATGAACAAAGAATACCGGAGTGTTTTCTATTCACGACGTCTGCCTCCAGTATACGAATCGGTCTCAGAGCGATTCCATTCCAATAAGATGAAAGAAAAGCTGGGGGATGAATCCAAGCTCCGTGATTCTATATGATACCTCAATGCTCTGAGGTACAGTTACTGGAAGATATGAAGCATAGTTCACAGAATGTAGAGTTTGAGATACAACTTAAGATAAACTGAGATGCAGAGAATGCAATCCGCATAACTTATCAACTTGAACCACGTAATCCCAACTCGTAACATATATGTTCACAGTGTAAATGATATATTTCAAGCATCACGTTCTTTTTCAGTTGATTAACCTTAAGACCTGCTAATGAGATCATGAAAAATGCTGGGTAATTTTCTTAATGAAACACGAGAAAACACTGTTGGAATTTAGATATAACAACCATTTCAACCTTCTTCGTAATATAGCATCATCATTGATGGAAGATGGAACCATTACTTTATAAATTTCTCCACAACCAATGTGAGAATACAAGCATCTTATCCTGTCCACCAGACCTAAATACACATAAACCTGCAGGCCACTGTATACAACAGTGAGGTAAACATATTTCATGCAGGGGCCTTTTCAGTTCATGAAGGGACATTGACAGCCTCATTTACCAAATATATATATATGACTTGAAGTTTGTGCAAAAATTATTGGCCAGAAAAGTTATCCTGCAAAAGTTGGTGTAGAAAATATCTATCATTTAGCACTTCTGATCTTACAATTCTTCCTAATTTTACAGTGAAGGCCTCCTAAAATAACGTAGTTTATCAGTAGCAGCTCCAATTGTTTCTTAAGGTTTTTAGTTGTAAGTTGAAAATATCCAAACAGCTTGCATTGAATCCGCCCAAAAGATTTGTATAGAAGTAATAACAGTCTAGAAACCTCTTTAGTTTCTTAAATAATTCAAACATTTCAATAACACAGAATCCCATCCCAATTGCAATGATGATAACATGCCCAGCATACATCCTATACATGCTAACATAGTACAACTACCCCTTCAAATCCATTATTTGGAAAACCATGTCAAATTATCAACCCTCTTCAAGCTTTGGCTCTTATTATTAGATCATCAGTGACAAGAGTTCTCATTCTGTAAAAGAACATAATAAAATAAGTAACGAAAACATACCATGTCTTGTTTGTTGGCGAAAACCAAGATGACACTATTGAGCATGAATGGATCATTAATGATAGCCTGCATGTAGTTTATGGATAAACTTGGAGCTTGTTACACAGTTTTATGGAATAATAAGCATTGAATCTGATTTTACCACCTGAAATTCCTGTTTTGCTTTCCCAATTCTCTCTCGGTCCAAGCTATCAACAACATATATCTGCACAAATGCACAAGTCAGCATATAGATATGTACCAAACTTAAAAAATTAGTTCTTTCCAATAAGTACCATTGAAATTATAAGAGATTGTAGAAAAACCATCATAATTCAAAGAACAACTCAATATATCAAAAGGTGTAAAAACATAGAAAATAATTCTCACCAAACCATCTGTGTTATTAAAATAGTGCCTCCAAAGTGGCCTTAATTTTTCTTGCCCTCCTACATCCCAAACTGTGAACATAACATTCTTATACTGAACTTTCTCCACATTGAAACCTACAAGACCAAAGCAGACCATAAGACTGCAGAAACAACTTTCATTTTATAGAACTGGAAAATCATCTTGTACGCACCCATTTGACAGCCAGCAAGACTATGCTAAAGGGCATCAGAAGGCCGAGATGAAATTAATTACAGGAACATTCTTTGATTGAATGAAAACAAAACTTTTCCCGTAAAAAGGGAAACCCTTGTGAAATTGCACACAACATGGGTCTCTACATATTTTCTAGACAAAATACCAATGAATAAATCACATCAAATCAAATAACAAAAATCATGAATGATAATCCCGTGTAAAAAGCAATTGCCAAGTGTTTGTCAGTAACCCAAATAAAACCCTCCAAGTGATGTAACTAAACAGCAACAACAAATGGTTCTATGAGGCCTTCAGCAGCAGATAGCAAAATATCAGCGTGTCACACATCCCACATCCCCCTATTGATAATAGGTAGTTTCCGTAACCATAAAAAATAATATCAAACATTAAAAAACTCACAGGTCTTCTCAAATAACATTCCCATCAACTTATACATCAAGCTGATCCTTCCAAAATCAATTAGTGAGACCATTATTTTCAATATTTGAAATCACACATTAATCACAAAAATGCTAACAAGATTGAGATCGTTTACACTATCTCATTGAAAAAATATATCTACATTAATTATTCATTCCACTAAATTAATTGAGATATGATTACATTTTTTTTCTATTGCATTCGAGCATTTCTTGTATAAACCATGCTACTTAATTTATTCCCTCATAAATTCAGGGAAAGTTCTCTTTCCATCACAATAAAAATAAATACACTTTCCGCTTAAGCTAGCTCCAATAACAAAAGCTCTATATGTCACCAAACAAGAAGAAGAGCAACAATACAGCTTTGCTTACCTCTGAATATATGGGCAAACGAAACAAATGAAAAAAATAAAATAAATAAAGAACATAACTAACATGCATAATTTTAACAACTTTCAGCTATCAAGGCAGAAATAAAGCATTTATCTCCATGCAAGATGACCAGATAAATTCTTGTTTAAAATTCATAAGTTAATCAATAAATATTAGTCATGATTCATGACTTTGTAAAATAGCACCCACCAATAGTAGGAACAGTTGATAAGACTTCTCCAATATGCAGCTTGTACAATATAGTTGTTTTGCCAGCAGCATCAAGACCAAGCATCACAACCTAAGCCAAGTCAAGGGAAAATTACAAGCGTCATAGAAGGCCTTTGGTTAAAAAAGGTTTTTGGATCAGTAATTAACAGGAGTTCCTCATATCATCACAACAAAGTCTTGAAGATAAAGAAAATTTCAAGGGCTATGGGCACTTAGCGAAGAAATAAAGCATTCATGCAAATGATGGGGAAGGAAGAATGCAAAGGCAGCAATAATTATAAAAATCAACCTGAAATATAAATTGCAGAGGAAAAAAAAAAAATCAAAAAAATGGAAACAAGGCTAAGGTACTCCTAAGAAAAATCAGACATATCCAAAACGTCACAACAATCATTGCAATCTATAGGACCACATTTACACACTAAGAACTGAGAGAGGGGATGAAGTATAGTACATTAATGCATTGTCCCATAGGCCAAGCACCATGTTCTGAAGGATGCATTTAGAAGCTCAGTTAAAGTGATAAAATTTTGTGCATTGATGCATAGTCTAATTCCAATGTTCGTTTATTTTAGAGAGTACAACCCGATCGCTCAAGAAGCACGAGGACTAAAAGTCAAATTATGAAAATGGTTCGATATTGCTATCGACATATTGAAAAGAGGCTTCACAACGTTGCCAAAACCACTCAACTACAGCCCACAAAACGAGCATATTCTCTGGGATCGGCAAGAATTGTAGGCTGCAAAAGTGAGATACAGATTGAAATTTCTTTTATAAATTTCAAAGGCTCGGAAATAAACAAAAACTCATCAAGACTTTCACTCCACATGGTAAGGAAGTTATTAAAGCAATAACTTCAGTTTTTTAAAACTACAAGTTAAGTCAGAAACAAATAATAATTATAAATTTATTAACTCTATACTTCTTAAAGAGCTAACAAAGTAATGATCACAACAAAGAAAACGTAAACCCCATGTCCATTAAGAGGGAAAAACACATGTATCATCACTAACAGAAATATTCACTTCTGGGTTAAAAGGAGATCATGAAGGGGGAAAACGACTAAGCAATTCGTCCATCACAGGAAAAAAAGAAGAAAAAGAGAGGCACCCGCATCTCGGAGTTCCCGAAGAAGGTGTCAAAGAGCTTTCGGAAAGCTTGACCCATGGTGGTGACTAAGATTCTGAAACTCTTGCTAGCAATTTATATGTGCGAGTGCGATCAAATTCTGCCGATGATTTAACGGTGGTACCGTCAGAAACGCGAATCAGTATGGGCTTACGCGAAGTTAGAGACTCGTGGGTTGTGAAATCCCCCTTTTGAGAAAAATCTTTAGGATGAGAAAGTATCAAGCAAGAGGACCAAACAGGGCGGGCGGCCTCGGCCTTCGCGTTATTTCCTTCCTAGTTGCTAACTTGCTATTGCCTTCCTCTTTTGAAGAAACAAAATAATTGAAAAGTTAAAAGAAAATTAAAGAAAAAGCAGAATATTTGAATGGGTTTGGCCAAAAAAAAAAAAGGAGAATATTTGAATGGGAATATATTTGCATCTTACCCGAAAAAAGGAAAAAGAGGATCCGTTATTGAAAACATAAATAAAATTCTTACCCAGAAAAAAGTGAAATAAAGGAAATGAGAGGATCGTCAAAAAAGTAATAAAAAAATATTCATCAATCAATCAATATGTTATATGACAATAAAATGGGGAAACATGCGAGTACTAGGAAATGTTGATTTTTTAATATTTAATTTGATTTTTTTCAAAATTTAAATGATTTTAAAAAATATATATCTTCTTGAGGTGCTAAAAGATTAAGACAAATTACCTATTAAACAACTGTAAGATGTAAGACAATAATAATTGGAAAAAAAACAACAACAAAATCGTTCACTTAATCAAATGTGGATTGAATAGAAAAGGCTTGATCTTCCTTAAATAAATTTAACAGTTGGAATCTTCTATTTTTTTTCCAAAAAAATTATCTTAGAAAAGCTCATTCTAATTAAATTTGAACGAATCAAACCACATGAAAGAAGTAAAAATAAAATAAGGAAGACCAATAATAAAAGATGGAGGACTTTTACTAGAAATAGACAACCCTAAAATCTTATATTCATTAATGTTATAATACCTCCGGTTTTTAATGTAATAAAAAGTTGACTAATTTGAATAGATTAAAAAAACTAGTTTAGTTACTTATTTATAATAAATAAGTGTTACTTTCTTAAAATATCTTTACTAATCAAATGTATTAGCTAAAACTACTATTATTACAAAGACTGTCTTGAAAAAAATAAATAAATATAATAGATAAAATAAATTAGGGTCTTATATTTAGAATTAAAATAAAAATTAAATGAACTATTATATTAAAAACCGAAGGTAGTTTTTTATATTATTAGGATTTCTTGATTTATTAGACTTATCTTTTTCAGATTCCACTTGGATTAGGATTTAATTTGAATAAATTTAATCATTTAAATTATTATTATTATTATCAACTTTTATTTAATCATTATGACTTGCTTAAATTTTTTTTAATTAAAGTTACGCTATAGCTCGCACATATTTTCTTATTTTTTTATTTCTTACATATTTTCTTATTAACAATTATTCCATACTTCTTCCATTAAGTTTGTTTTATTATTCCATTATATATATTACCATTATATATTTTTGTGTATCATAATATATACCGTGCAATACTCAGGTTTATAATTTAGTTAATTTTATGGTATGAATTTTGTAATAATTTTTCATGCGGAAAAAAACATTGAATTTTGCAAAATATTGTAGGGTATACATAAGTCACAACTCACAAAACATGAGAAGGAATTGCTTATAAAAATTGTTTTAGGTTTATTAACAACAACCTAATTAAATTATTTAATTCTGTGAAGAATTAACTCCTGTTTTGAGTTGAACCTGACTCAAACTTGTATTAATCGAGTTTTAATATGGCTTTAGCTAGAGAGGGTTTACTCTAACAAAGTATTTATCAATTATTTTTTAATGTCCATTAATAAATAATATGTTTTGTTCAAATTATATCAAAATTAAAAATATATGTATATGTAGAAAAAAGAGGGCATCATGATTATAACACACATTGCATTATCTCGTTGCATTAAAAAAAATTAAAAATATTACAAAGGAAAATTAATGGAAAGTTAAGGTGGATCCATCAAGGCAGGACGGAAGATAAGAATCTGGAAGATTCTAGCAACCTCCCTCCACCAGCACTCCTTCCTAGCAAGCCAATCAAGAATGGCACTGGCTAGCCCCCCCCCCCCCCTTTTCTCTTTTTCAAAGAATGTTCTCATGTTTAATTTTTTTGGAGTATGAAATATCTTATGTATTACTACCTCTGATCCTAATTATAAGAACTAATTGACTAATTTAAGAAGTAAAAAAAAGTAAGTTATATATGTAATAAATATGTATTGTCTTTTCTAAAATATCCTTATTAATCAAATATATTGACTAAAACTACTATTATTAGAAAAACCATTTTGAGAAAAAAATACATAAATATGAGAGACAAAATAGATTAGGATTTTATATTTAGAATCGAAATAAAAGTTAAACAAGGTCTTATATTAAGAACTGAATGTAATATTATGATTAGACTCATCATTATTATTATTTCTAATGTTTCCTCAACCTACTTGTCACATCATATTACATGAGCATTGTTTTTACTTTTCGCATGATCTATTATGAATACTTTATATCTAAAAAGAGGATAGTTTAACCACTTATTGCAATAAATCACTCATCTTAAGATCATATTTTGAAACAATCCTTTTAACTAATAATATTATTTATTTTACTTGACTATACATCTTTCAATTTTTGTATTTTTTAAATTTAAATATCTCTTTCATGCAGATATCAGGTTATTCTGTCTTCTATAATAATAATTTTAAAAAAAAACTATACATGAAGAGCAATAATTAATCAATACAGATGAGAGTAATTCATTCTCTTTTTCTTTTTTCTTTTTAAAAAAACTATACATAATTATGTAATCTATAAGTCAAGGATGATTATTAGTTATTAATATCTGACCATTTTGTAGGCAGCTATTTTTTTTCCTTTTAATTTTGTTTTTCTCTCTTAATAAATTTTTAATTTTTGTGTTAACCCGTATGTTAATAGACTAAAGTTACATGGACAAATAATATTAAAAGAACAAAATTAAAAGATTTAATCAAGAGAAGAAAAAAATATAAGCACCAAATTAAAAATTAAGGAAAATATAGTTACCCAAAATGTTTTTCCCCTTAATATTATTAGGAGTTGATTCACAATTTTGCATTGATTTGAGCCTCAAAATAGCAACTTCATCTTCAAGTTTCACCACTATATTTGATATGTATTATTTGGAAAAGTATAGGAAGTTTCTAATGGAAAGTGACATGACTGAGTATTTTCACTGTCTTTATCTTACAAAAGGAAAAACAGCTTTCAGCGCAAAGCAATGGCTGTTTCCAAAACCTTTGTGACATGACACTGAGCTATTTTATGTACTGTCTTCAAGCAGGAAGCTTCAATATCTCATTGTTTTTCCAGCTGAATAAAAACAAGCCAATTGTTAAGGGTCACATTGTCTTCCAAAAATGCTTTTGCAGAGAAAGATAAGGATTGATAGATGGATGGATAGACAGATATGCTTGCAAATAAGGTAGAATAAACTACATTAAAAAAAAAAATTGAATCTCCCTTCTATTTTTGAAAATGTACATAGACATCTCTTTTAAGAAAAAAGAAATGTAAATTATTGAGACATTTATTAGTTATGCTAACAAAAGTTTGCAATATTTTTTAAACCTACATAAACCTTCATTGAGGAAATTATAAACATATCCTCTGATTTTTGTTCAAATTACCGGTATGCGCTGCAAGAACATCAACCAGGAAGTGTCATCACATTATAATGAGGATATACCACGTTGTAAAGTATAATTCATCCAACCGGGGGGGGGGGGGGGGGACAAAGTTATTGAAGCTATAGGATCAGCATTTCAAAATCTCAGCATCCTCTTGTTTCTCAAACTCGAACAATACTCATGGTCTCATGCATATCCAGTAACTCAGTAGTGTAATTAAATTCATTCCGTTGAGAAACTTTCAAGCTCGTGCATTCAGTGCCTTTGGTCATCGTTCTGTATTGTGGTTTCATCCATATGAAATTGAGAAAGCATGTTTTTTAAGGTCAAAATTAAAGCATATAAAACAATGATATCTCATTAAAAGCAGGCAAGCATGAAATGAACTAGACCATCACTTGAAACCTCATAACCATCAGGAGCTCAACTTCATGACAGTGTTAAAATCTGAACCCCTTGTACTTGGACTGTCACTGGAAAGGCAGTTATTTTCCTACCTAGGTGAGGCACTAAGATACACAGTTTTATTTGCATGTATAATGGAGATTCACCGCTGAAAAGCTTTTCATAATTACGCTTTCTCGCATAGAATCCAGAATTTCAGCCAACCCAGTTCACAAGAATTAAAAAGGCAACACATACCCAAGCAGGAATACATATTTCCCAGTGAGATTGTCAATATTCCTTGACCTTTGCAGTAATACTAATTGTGGCAGAATAGCTACTGCTTCAAGATATATTGAAAATGTCCACAATACCTACCCAAGGAAAAACAGGCATCCATCAGAAATTAAACCCAAACGTATCATAGATTAAAAAAAAATACCTTGGGGGGACGGAATCTCAGAGCAATACGCTGGATTTGAAGAAAATAGATAGCCAAGGTATCTTGTGTCATGACATTTAAACATAGGTTTGTTGTCTTTAGGACAATATTTTGATTCTTTCGTGGAGGAACGCAGGGAAGTTGAAAATCATGACGCAGAAGTTCCTTTAAGATATTAAAATTGAATGATGGATTTGCTAGAAATGATGTAGAAGATGGATTCAGTTTCGCTGGACATTTTGATGGAATATAAATCTTAACCTTGGGTTTCATTATCACACAGAGCCATGGAAAAAGGTCTTTTCTGCCTAAACCTTTTAACAAAAAGAAGGATAAAGAAACTAAAACAGCTTTGAAAAAGTTGAGCCATAACCATTAAAGATGGTCATCTACAAGCACTGATACTATAAGCATTACTAGCCCAAAACCAAATAAAAACATTTTTTTGCAATGTATAGGACTGTTTAAAACTTGCCAATCTTGAGCACCGCAACCTCTGCCAACTCCAATTGGTTGCTTGTGATGACTTTGAAGCACAATGTCATATATAAAATTTCAGTACGAACATATTCAATTCCATCTAAGTCATTATAAATTCCTAGCTAGGTTTTTGTGAAATTAGTTGAAAGTTATAATGACTCAGCTAACCCTATTTGATGCATAAAGGAAACA